GAGCCAGCACAATCACCCTGAGGCTCTGTGTCCCATGTACTGTGGAAGTTCTTGACCTGAGGACTCATCCTCTTACAACCTAGGTTTTATTCTTTGTTGTTTCTTTTGGGGAATAGGGAGTCATTTATTTTTTTTTAGGTTCCTAGTGAACATGATATCTTAAGCAGAAAAGAGAATTGCCCACACCCAGGCAATCATAGCTTCTTGATTAATAAAATGAGTTTGGACTGTGTAATTTCTAAACTCCCTCCCAGGCCCCAAAGTTCTATGGTTCTAAACTAACTAAAATTTAAGAGAAGATATGACATTCATTCAACAAATACGAATTACTAGGACTTGGTGCTAAAAACAAGAGTTACAAAATAAGGTAGTCTGCCCTTTGGGAGTGTAAAACCAAGTGAAAGAATAAACACTAAGTTCCTAGAACACTAAGCTTTGTAAAGGTTACATTTTTCAAAAAGATTTTATTTTTAAGTAATTTCTGTACCCAACGTGGGGCTCAAACTTACAACCCCGAGATCAAGAGTGTATGCTCCGGGGCGCCTGGGTGGCTTAGTCGGTTAAGCATCCAACTTTCGCTTAGGTCATGATCTCGCGGTTCGTGGGTTCGAGCCCCGCGTCGGGCTCTGTGCTGACAGCCAGCTCAGAGCCTGGAGCCTGTTTCAGTCTGTGACTCCCTCTCTCTCTGACCCTCCCCGGTTCACGCTGTCTCTCTCTCTCTCTCCTATAAATAAATAAAACATTAAAAAAAAAATTAAAAAAAAAAAAAAAAAGAGTGTATGCTCCATCCTCTGAACCAGGCTCCCCATACGGCTACATTTCTTGAGTTTTATGAAGTGCCATTCCAAGACCTTTACAATTTAATCTCAGAATTCTTCGTGACATTATGTGGGTTCTGACCACACTTTCTTTGGCCATTGGTGAAGTCCCCATCAGTTTAATAGCAGCATAGCTGATGTGGGAAACAAAGGCAAAAGGAAAAAAATTAAATTTTCTTTTTTTTTTTAAATTTTTTTTTAATATATTTCTAGGAGAGAGAGTGAGCAGGGGAGGGTCAGAGAGAGAGGGAGCCACAGACTGAAACAGGCTCTAGGCTCTGAGCTGGCAGTCAGCACAGAGCCCGACGTGGGGCTTGAACCCACGAACCGCGAGACCATGACCTAAGCGAAAGTCGGATGCCCAACCGACTAAGCCACCCAGGCGCCCCAAATTAAATTTTCTTAACCATTTACAGTCCATTGAGACAGGCAGAGTGAACTTCCTCTCAGAACTCAACTGCCTCAATGTTAATGACGAGGGGCCATAAGGCAAGCTGAGGGCCCAGCACAAGCTAGCACACATATCCACACCCACACACACACCACCACCCCATGTAGGATATGTGTGATATTCCTTAGGCACTCCTGGATGCCCAAGAACAAGGGAAAGGACAGAAAACAAATGGCTAAACTGACAGAATATCAGTTTACAAATATTTTAGTAATATTACAAGAAAAGGGCAATCTTATCAATAGCCTAATCTCCAGGAACTCCTTACTGTCTTAATGATAATACTTTGCTAGAGGGCAAAACAACTTTAGTTTGACAATAGCTAGGCCTCCAGTAATCTTCGTCTTCTTTAGCATATGGAAATCCCTTTAAGAAACCTCTTGGGGCACCTGGGTGGCTCAGTCGGGTTAAGCATCCAACTTCAGCTCAGGTCATGATCTCTCCATTCGTGAGTTTGAGCCCTATGTCGGGCTCTGTGCTAACAGCACAGAGCCTGGAACCTGCTTCAGATCCTGTGTCTCCTTCTCTCTCTGCACCTCCCCCCCCCCCACACACACACACTCTGTCTCTCTCTCTCTCAAAAATTAAACGTTAAATTTTTTTTTGTTGTTTTTAAACAAATTTCCTCTTGATTTTACCTCCCAAACTCCTCAGTATATAACCAGTCACTCTGCACAACCCAAATGCAGCTCTTTCTGCCTATGGGTCCTGTTCCTGTGCTTTAATAAAATCGCCTTTTTGCACCAAAGACATATTTGAGAATTTGTTCTTGGCTCTTGCCTCTGAATCCCCACCACGACTTCAAAACCCCATCAATAATACTTTGCTAAGGGCAAAAGGCAATCTTAGCTTAAGATTATCCGACCTCAAGGATCCTGTAAGTCTCCTTTAACATATAAAAATTTCTTTGGAAACTTACTTTATCTCTACCTCCCAAGATGTATGTTAGCAATCACCCTCCAAGTATATGGCTCCTGATATACACTTAAAGGTCTCCTGACTAAGGTTGTATTAGACAGTAATAAATGACCTTTTCCTAACAATAGCTAGCCCCTCAAGGTCCTGGAATCCTTGCCTCCAAATTCTGAGAGACTTACGCTATTCCTTATTCCCTTTCCAACTTGAAAGTATATAATCAATTGCTCCTCATAATCCCAGTGCAGCTCTTTCTGCCCACGGGTCCTGTCCCTTGCTATAATAAAATCACCTTTTTGCACCAAAAACATTTCAAGAATTCTTTCTTAGCCGTTTGCTCATAAATTTCATAATTTCATCATTATGAAAATTAAATATAGAGTTGAGCCATATGAAGTTGCTGTTTCTTGACATCAAAAGCAGGGGTGGAATCTCTCAAAATAGTTAACATTCCTTCGTGCTTCAGATTCTTCAGAAACTCCAGTCCTAAATTCCTTTTAACTGTCCTAAAGCACGGTTGCTCAACTGTTTGGGTGGCCCTAGGGATTCAAACTTGCATATTGTTGATCTACCCTGTGGAGGCCAATCAATTAGCCTCTTGGCCGCCTCGTGAGATTTTGGGAGTTTCTACAAGGATCTGGAGCTTCTTTCCAGCAAGCCACAAGCACATCCCTGGGGGGCCAGAGAAGCCAAGAGCCAGGACAGCTCGGTGCTTTGTCACACACAGACTCAGTGCACTTTCACCCTTCTTTCCACAGGCTATTTTACATTATTTGTTGCTTATGATGGGTAGTGACGTTTGGTTCCATTTTAAAATGTAGAAACTGGAATGCGTGTGTGGCTTAGTTAAGCATCTAACTCTTGATTTCGACTCAAGTCATCATCTCACACAGTTCATGGGTTCGAGCCCCGCATTGGGCTCTGGATTGACAGGTGAGAGCCTGCTTGAGATTCTGTGTCCTTCTCTCTCTGCCCCTCCCTGCTCTCTATCTCTCTCTCAAAATAAGTAAACATTAAATTTTTTGAAAATAATAAAGTAAAATGTGGAAACTGATGAGGGAGCCACAGGATGGCTGAGGGCTAAGCACAAGTTAACAGCCTCCTCTCCCCTCAGGTGAGATATGAGTGATATTCCTCAGCCACTCCTGGCTGCCGGAGAACTAAGGAAGGGGGAAAACAAAAGGTTAACTGATAGAGATCACAGTCAGGCAGGACACAAGGCTCCATCTGTTTACAAATGTCTTAGTAAACTACAAGAAAAATGCAATCTTATCAGTAGCCTAACTTCCAGAAACCCATAGACTCAAGTTTCCTGGAGCCCTAACATCTCCGTCTCCTCCAATAGTGATGTGGGGAACAAAGCTAAGAAGGAAACGGTAGATAAAATTAAATTTCGTTATAACCTGTAGCCCTTTGGCAAATACTTGAGGCAGGCAGAGTATAACATTTCTCCAGGAACTCCCTACTGCCTTAATCTTAATGCTTTGCTAGAGGGAAAAACAACCTTAACTTGAAGACAGCCAGGCCTCCAGTATCTGAGGAGTCCTCTATAGCATATGAAAATCCTTTTGGAAACCTCCCTTTAAAATAAAAATTAAGAAAAAATTTTATGTCTTTATTGAGAGAGAGACAGAGCGTGAGCGGGGGAGGGGCAGAGAGTGAGGGAGACACAGAATCCGAAGCAGTCTCCAGGCTCTGAGCTGTCAGCACAGAGCCCGACGCGGGGCTTGAACCCACAGATTGTGAGATCATGACCTGAGCTGAAGTCGGATATTTAACCAACGGAGCCATCCAGGCTCCCCTAAAAAACGTTTTTTAAATCTATTTATTTGTTTTTTTATTGACAGAGCGCACGCAAACACGAGTTGGGTAGCTTGGATAACGGCAGAGAGAGAGGGAAGGAGCACCCTAAGCAGGCTCTGTGCTGTCAGCTCAGAGTTCCACTTGGGGCTTGAACTCAGGAACAGCCTTGAACTCCGGAACAGTGAGATTGTGACCTGAGCCAAGATGAAGAGTTTGAGGCTCAACCAAGCCACCCAGGCGCCCCAGAAACCTCCCTTTTGCCTTCACCTCCCCGGTCCATAGTATAAAATCAGCCACTCCTCAGAACTACAGTGCAGCTCTTTCTGCCGAGTCCTGTCCTTATGCTTTAATAAAGTCACCTTTTTGCTCCAAAGCGATCTCAGGAAGTCTTTTTGGGCTCTCAGCTCTGCCTCCTCTCTCCCCGCCCCACTCCAAAACCGCATCAGAAACTGAGGCTAGAGAGGGTTTAGCACCAAGTATTACTTGAAATAACATGGGTTTGAAGTTAGATGGATCAGTTTAGGCAATGCTGTTAGTGTGTGACCTCTCAAGGTCCTTGAACCTCTCTCTCGACTTGTTTCTTTTCTGGAGAAGGGGGGCTAATATCTCCCTTTCTCATACAGCTCTTTTCGGTTCAACCCAGACTCTGCACAGCCCGCCTTTGGCAGGTGGAGTCGTGGCGAGAGAACCCACGAGGAGACAGTGCGGTAAGCGCCGGTGCGCCAGGGGGTAAAGAGCCCCGCCCAGCAGGCGTACACCCGGGGCTTTCCAGAAATATAGATACTTTGATTGCACTGGAGACAGAAATAGCCTTGACATCCCCAGGTTCAGGCCGCCTACAAGTACCACAGTGTGTCCCAAAAGCCGGAACTGAAACTTCCTAGTCCCCCGGGGTGCGGTCCGATTGTGCCAGCCCACAGCAGGCGGGGCCGGAAGTTTTGAGCGGCTGCGGCCGGCGCCTGCGCGCCGCCATCTTGCTCGGAAGAGACCGCCTCCCTCCCCGCCCAGGCTCCGAAAGCCGAGAGGCGGGGCTGTGCGTCTCGGCGGGCCGTGGCGGGGCCATGGCGAGCGCTGAGTCCTGCGCGCCCGGGATGCGGGCGTCTACCCCGGGACCCCGGACGGGCGGGACCCCGGACTGCGCGGCGGGCGCGATGAGGCTGCCCTTCGGGCGAAGCGGCAGCGGAATCCCCCGGCTGGCAGAACGCCCCCCGGCGATTGTGGAGAAGAGAGGACCGTACATGGTGACGCGCGCGCCTTCCATTCAGGCCAAGCTGCGTGAGTGCGGCCGGATGGGGGGCTGGGGCGTGGGGAGGGTCTCTGCCTGGGCGGGCTACCTGGTCCCCTGGACGGGCAACGGAGACCTGCTGAGGATATCCTGGAGAGGGCAGCTGCATCCCGCTTCCGTCTCGAAAATGTGTTCGGAGAGAGCGGGCTCCTGGCGTTTGGGAGACACGGCGGAGTGGGGAAAAAACCCCGCTGACCTGGGTCCTTTGACTTCCAGAGAAACACCGGGACCTGGCCAAGGCCGTTCTGCGGAGAAAAGGCATGCTGGGGGCCTCGCCGAACCGCCCCGACTCTTCAGGGAAAAGGTCTCAGCAGACGCCATCGCTGTGCCAGCAGTTTCCAGAGAAGGCCTTAGTGCTCTCTCTGGGAGACAGAGTTCTCACGCTTTTAGACCGAGCTAGTGATTCTCCTGGCGCCAACCCATTTAGTCCACTGTTGTCAAATGGGAAGAGGAAGGACCTTTTCTTTTCCTTTACGGATGTGATGGTGTCAGGGAAACGGCTTTGGAATAACAGAGTTTTGTCCGTGCCTAGGCTCCTTCACTGTCTGAGTGTCAAGCTAGGCAGGAACACAGTGGCGGGGGCCTCTAGGAGTGAGGATAGCTGGATGGGAACAGTTAGTGCTGAATTTCTTTTTAACAGAATGCTAAACTCTGAGGGCTGGAGGGGGCCTTTTCCAGTGCCTCTTACAGTTAAGGGATAAAATCAAGAGAGGTGAAGAGAGATGGGCCCAAGGACTTGCAGTTAAGTGAGGAGGGGGAGCTTTCCCAGGTTCTTGAAAGAGTAGGTGTGCTTTTCCTTAGAAGCAGTAGGGGTGTGGGGTGGGGAACTGCATATGCCAAGGAGCTGCAGCAGACAGTGGTGGCTGTGTGTGTGACCAGGTAGAAGGCAAGAGGGTACTGCAGTCCGTTCTTTCTTCATTAGGGCAGAGGCTGGCTTTCCCTGTGAAATGTTGGTGCTTCATCCTGCCTGGTCTCTTCTCTGTCTCCTCTCAGGTCAGTGAAGTTTAACAAGGGCTACACTGCCCTTAGTCAGAGTCCAGATGAAAACCTGGTGTCCCTCGACTCTGACAGGTGAGTGCTGTCTTTGGAAACGTCCCTTGGGGAGTGATTGGGGTAAACTGACAGATTGCTTCCAAGACCCTTTGTGCCTGTTCCAGGGCTGTCTTCAGAGCATCGTCCCTTCCCAACATAGTTTGGTTAGAGGACTCAGGCAGTCATGCTGCTCTTGGATTTGGAGTACCAGCCTTGTGTGTGGGACTCATTCCTCCCCCCGCCCGGTCATATCTTCAGTGTTAGTGACAGTGACCCTAGCCCTGCTTGAGCCCATGGAAAGAGCCAGGGGTACTCAAGACTTGGGCTTGAGTTCTTTTCTGATGTGTGGTCTTGGTTTCACAAGGCCTCCAGACCCCTTTGTGTGCTCTCCACAGGCACCCCCCTGAGCTCACTGTTTTCCTCTTCTCCTAGTGATGGGGAGCTGGAATCCAGATACTCCTCCGGGTATTCCTCTGCAGAGGCAAGTCCAGAGCGCCTTTCTGCACGGGGCCAGGCTGCAGGCAGCGCCACCGCCACTGCCAAATGCTTGTCTTGTGCCTGCTGTAGGCACGGCACTGTGCCTGACTTCCGGTCTGTTCTCCAATCTTCTACTCTGTCTTACACCCCCAGCAGAGGTATAGGTGTCTGAGGAGGGCTGTTGAAAATCTAGGAGACTATAGACCCTTAGGGCTGAATAGGACCTCGCAAGTCTTCTGGTGTGGGTGACCCCTTAGAAAAATCCTTTGGGGAGGTAGAGGAGAAGAGGAAAAAAAAAAAGAGAGAGAGAGAAAAAAGGAATCCTCTTGATAAATCCCACCTAAGTGTTTACCAGCCTCTGCTTGAGTGCTCCTTGTAACTGGGTTCTGTCTCCAGGAAGCTTTGCTGCCTGCCCTGTCTCCAAAACACACACATACATACACACTCTACTTTTTCAGGTAGCTCTTAGAGAAGCCTTATTAATTTGAAATGTCTCCTGCAGGCTGCACTCAGTGGTCCTAGGCCTGCCCTGGACCCAGTGTCCCCCAGTAATTCTAGTTTTCCATCCTTTGATGGCCTCTTATATGAGATCAGCCTTCCTGGCCACCCTTCACCAAGCTTACTTTCTTCTAGGCCAAACAACATCTGTTCCTTCAGTTCCGTCTATGGGAACTCAGACTGAGATACTACTGGGCCGGCCTTTTTGGACATGTTTCCAGAGTGACGGTCCCAGACCCACTGGGACTGTGTCTGTTCTGGCACGTGCAACTTTCTGCCTTTATCAGATAGAGGTGAAGTGCTGGGGACAAGACTATAGACCACTAATGTTTTTTCCTTGTTCTCCTGGAAACCCATGGCCACCCCCTGAGTTTCTGCCAAAGAGAGGCAGTCTGGAAATTTTGAATATCCGGGTGCCTAACATTGTTAAACCTAAGAAAAGAAAAATGAGCCAAGAGCCGGAGAAAATCCTGTGCCATTCCCAGTCTCCTGTTCCTTCCTCTCAGCAGGACTGGTAAAGCGAGGCGGACAGGTTCCGCTTTGCAGGGAAGGATCTCTGCTGGCCTGGGAGGCTAACGTGTCTAACCAGCAGTGCAGACAGAGCTGCTCCCCACCCCGTGTCAACGGAACTCCTAGTCTCTTCTATTGTCCTGGTATCATTGACCCATATTCTCCAGCCCTCATAGTGACCAGCCTGGGTTCCCAGTGGGAGTGGTTAGGCCATTGACTTTCGATACAATCTGGAATCTGATGTTTATATCAGATGCTTTGAGATTCTTCCGCTTTGAGATTCTTCCATGACAAACAGCTCCCCTGGGGGTTATTGACATTGCAGCCCATACAGTGTTGGCTCAGGGCACTTGGGGCCCCTGACTGCTGGCCGAGGCACAGGTAGAAAAAGGGGGCACTTCCTCCCGTAGTTCGGTGGTGTGTGGAGTTGGCCTGGGGGTGGCACATGAACCAGAGGTTCTGGTAGGGAATGTAGGCCTGCCCTTTGGGCAGCAATTACTTCTGCTTTGCAGCATGGCTTATAGTTCTCTCCTCTCCTGCTCTTAGCAGGTGAACCAGGATGTGAGCCGGCAGCTGCTCCAGGATGGGTATCACCTGGATGAGATTCCAGATGACGAGGACCTGGATCTCATCCCTCCCAAGCCCGTGGCCTCGTCAACATGCTCCTGCTGCTGGTGCTGTCCTGGGAACTCTTCCTCCTGTACCCTTCAGTAGACACAGGCCCCTAGGACGCGCCCTGCTCACCATGCCTGCAGCAGAGCCCTGTTGGCCCTTCTTAGGTCACAGAGTACAGTGGGGCCTGCTGTCAGCCTCAGAATCACTGGAGGCACTGACCCTCTGGGAAGGTCAATGACCTATAGTTATCCCTTCCCTGGTGCTTCTCAGGCCAGAGGCCCCCATCTGGGCCATAGGGTGATAGGTGGGATTCTGCAGTTTTCCTCTGCTGTTGGAGCAGAGTTTGGAGAAACCACCTTTATAAGGGCAGGAACAGGTGAATTCTGGCTCTTGTGGTCAGGGACAAAGCTGGCTAAGGAAAACTTGCAAATATCTTGACCGGTAGTTGTCATGCTCTTTGGAGGGAGAAAGAGCCTTTGTGCCCAGGCTGTGCCGGATGCAGAAAATGTGTCTGGAAGCAGAAAATAGCACTTTATGGCTTTCAGTTCGGGAGTCTTTGAAAAATGGCTGCATGGAACCAGTTTAAGAAATTCCACATGCTCTCCTCCTCCTGGCTCCATGATGGGTTACATGCTTGACTCTCAAGAAAGCATGAAGCAAGGCCCTCTGGGCCTTTCCCTTGTGCCTGCTTGGCTGTGGCAGGGAATACAGCAGGTTGCTTGATGGCACAGCAGGAACAAGGCTTCCAGAATCTCCAGACCCACCCAGGGCATCCCCAGCTGGCTCAGACTGTCTGGGTGGATTTAGTGACTGTGGTCAGCCCACCCCTAGTTAGAGAAAAATTGCTCCGCTATGTACATATTTATTTATTTGTCTTTCCTTGATGGCCATTCTCTGCCTTGTTCTTAGTTCAGTACCCAGTCTTTGTAAAGGTCGGGTGAAGGGCCTGGAGCTTGTCCCAGAAGCCTGCAGGTTTGGGTGACCAGCAGAGGGAGCTGCAGGGAGCGGTCAGGCACCTCCCTATTGAGCTTTTTAAACTTGGGAATGGCAGTGGGTGAGAAATGTAGTGCTACAATCACGTGGGCTTTGACAGCCAGAGGCTCACAGGATGGGGAGGAGGGACCTGCGCCAGCTTCCGAGCCCCTGCCTACGGAGCTAATAGTCCATTGCAGAGGGTTTTCCTTCACCCCAGCATGGGCCTCATGGCAGATACAGAGGAACAGGCTTCACAGTAAACCTGGGGCCCAGTCTCCCCAGTCACCATGCTGCCCTCCACCCCCAGCATCTCTTGCTATGCCAGTCCCAGTCCTCTCTAAAAGTTAGTTTTCAATGTTTGTTTTATTTTGCCTTACCTAGAGCTCTGGTGAGGGCTAAACAGTCCCCAGCCTAAGGGATATGGTGGTCAGGATTGGGGTGTGGGCCCCACATGGGAAAGTACCTGGTCTGTTGCTTCTTTTGATGTCCTGTGGCCTCTAGAGGTATGAGAAATGACATGGACTCTTGCTCAACCACATGAGGTGATTGGACGGCTGAGAAGGTCTGTTATTTGTTAGATGTAATCTAGTAGCATCACAGCTGGAAGGAGATGGGTCAGAGGCACCTCGAAGTAGGGTCTGGAGAATAGGGGCCACAGATGCTCTCAGGAATGGGACAGGGAACGTCACATAGGCGCCTCACATTCTGACTGCTTTGTGCAAATGCCCACAGGCATTTGAAGATGTGAGAACATCCTCGTCCTGAACCCCTTGCCCATCCACCAAGACTATTCAGGCCTTTCTGCTTTCTGCAGAGGTGCATGAAGAGAGGACTCCGATGTAGGGCAGTGTAGAGAGACAGCGGTGGTAGCAGGAAGCCCAGTGTGGGGCCACATTGCTTGGGTGGGTGGGGGGGGATTCGGTTAGGACAGGGTAGCTGAGCATTTGGCAGCAGCCGTGGTGAAGGCGGCAGGGCCCCAAGGTGGACCTCCAGCTAGTGGTTCTGTGACTCAACACTGATGTACTTGCCTGCACCTGTTCCTGGGGAGCATGTTCCGGAGCCGGTCGGCTCCATGTAGAAGGCATTACCTTCTCGGGAAAGTTTGGGGAACAGAGTAGCAAGGCAGGGTAGAAACAGTCTGCTATTTGGGGCCAGAGGTCCCAGGCTAAAAGGTCACCAATAAAGGCACCAAGGTGCCTAAAGCCATACTGCCTTAATTCAGAGTGCTGGGTATTCTGAGGGAGCCGGCGCCCTGGGGAGGGAGGGTGTATTCGTGCTTCCCTCACAGAGGGGAGTGTGTGTGTGTGTGTGTGTGGTGGTTACAGAATACTCCACAGAACTCTTGGCTCAGGCTTCTGCAGCTCTGGAGGTTTCTAAGAATAAACACAATCATACTAGTAGTTGAGCGTCTCTGTGTCGCGATAGGATTTTAAAGACAGGCCTAGACCACACAGTCTTCTGAGTTCTGAAATGAAGAAATAGTGTGATAGCCCCTCCTGGGACCTTGTGTGCCTGCTATTCCCAGTGGGCATCATTTTAGGGCCTGTGTCACTGGAGACCATGGATGGACCAGACCTTTGGACAGGACTTTCTCTTTAGATTGTGTTCCCTCTGACCTTTTCTTCCCAGGTCATCTTTGGTTTTTAGCTGAAGAAAATTTGGGGGCCAAAACAAACAACCCAGAACAAATTGGCCAGAACTTTTTTGAAGGTAGTTTCCTAGATTTCCATCATGCAGGGGGTCCACTCTGGGCAATGGCCCAGAAAGATCCCTTTGTGGCAGTCTAAACACTTATCCCACAGGAAGGAGCCAACAGCCTGGGTCTCCGCTTAGTCTGTGACAGGATCTAAGAGTGCAGTCAGGTATTTCAGTGGCAGGACAGCTGTGCCACCTCTTGCAGACTAGAGGGTAGGCACAGGAGAGGCGATGCCCTCTGTACTTCCTGCCAGTTTAGGAAAAATGGCTAGGTTTCTCTTCACAACACAGGTTGGATTGCCCCAGGCACAAATCCCTGCATGTAAAGTGACTGAATGTGCTCTAGAGAAGTGGCTGATGAACTCTGAAGAGCCAGTCCTTATGTTTGGCATCACAGGCCATATAGTCTTGCGCATCTACTCAGTTTTGCCACCATAGCCTGAAAGCACCTGGTTGGCATGTAAATGACCAGTGTGGCCGCTTCCAGCCTGGTGGCCTTAACATGGTGATTCCGGCCCCAAGGCCAACTGGAACATTGGAGAGGAGAGTCTTAACACTGACAGTACCTTAGATCCATCTTCCACATACACAGGACCGGAGGCCTGCCTGCAGGCTTCATGTCTAAGGCCGAAGCCAGCTGAAGTCCAGCCTGCCCACCACAGGGAGCTCTTAAAAGCAGAAATTAAAGCAAAAACCAGACATCCAGGAAGGACTCTTATCATCCCACTTCAGGGACTGGAACGCTAAAGGCTGACTGCTCTATGTCACGGCTTCAACACAAGTGATCTTTAATTGCCTTGACAGAGTCAGGGTGACAGTGAGTAATGTAAGTCCACAGGTCTGCTCTTTTCCCTCCTTTGCATTTGAGGAAATGGGCAGTCCCAGAACACCCTGTTCTTAGACACTACTCACCTACCCTGTTGCTGTGCGTGATGCTTAATAAGAGGTTTTACCAGCCTGCCTATGGGCTGGAACAGATTGCAGCTGCCTCCTGCCTTGAGAGCCTGGCTCGGGTATGGTGAGACTACGAGGGGAGTGTCAGCCCTTAGTTCTCACCGGGGTCCTTCTCCCGCGAGAAAGATGGTTTGTCCTAGGCTTGCTCAGGAGTCACTACTTTCAAGTTCACTACTCTGCCCCAGCTCTTCCAGAACACAGTCAAGTCCAGGACAGGAGATGAGTTTGAGCTGGGCCTGAGAAAAGCTGGCTGGGATTTAGGATAACCGTCAGAGGACAGCCAGAAAGGCCGTGGTCTCTACAGCAGGCAGCAGGCTCGGAACATCAGCAGGTCATCGGGCAGAGTGAGCTGCAGGGAGACACTCTGATTGGCCCCGATGAAGAGCACCCCGCCGCGCTGCAGGGGTATTGGGGTCTGGGCTGTGGGAGTGCTGGCTGTCACTCTTCCCTGTACTATCAGTAGGATGCTGGCCGAGTCCACTGCCAAGACCTTGTATTCAGTGATGGAGCCGGGGACCTGGGCAGAAAGAAACAGTAAGATGAGGCACTTTTGTTTTCTGTTCCTGTCGGCTCACGGTGGGTCCAGGACAACCCCAAAGACAGTGAGAGGAGAGGCCTGCCGCCTCTTCCCCACTGCTCAGGCTCCTGTCAGCAGGAGGCCCACGTCTGGTCTTTGGTACAGAGGAGTAGGTAGGCCCTGTGGCTACGCCTCCTCTAGCCCCTAAGTGAGCTGAACAGAAGGGAAACCCAGCCCCAGGTATTCTCCACCCTGTGGCCCTTGCCAGGCTTTTTCTTTTTCTTTAAATGTTTATTTTGGAGAGGGCATGAGCAGGGGTGGGGGCAGAGAGACCATCCGAAGCAGGCTTCGTACTGTCCACGCAAAGCCTGATGTGGGGCTTAAACCCACAAACCACAAGATCACCACCTGAGCTGAAGTCTGATGCTCAACTGACTGAACCAGGTGCCCCTTGCCAGGCTTTTTCATGCCACACGAAGACACCCACCGTAGCTGCCACCACCCCCACCCTCCCCACTCACCTCCATCTTCATGACGGTGAAGTCCGGCACAGGGGGATTATAGATAAAGAGGTAGGGGTCTTCTTGACTCCGCGTTGGAAGAAAGAGCCTGTCTTTGCTGGGGGTATAGTTGAGCATTTCACACAGAGTTGGCACATCAATGAACTTGGGTGTCAGGCCAGCACGGACAGTATTGTCTGAACACGCCATACACTCCACACAGTCTGGGGACAGACAGGTGCCAGGCACTCACCTGATGAAGGATGCCTTGGAGTCAGGCTCTCCAGGGCTGGGCCTCCTATCCTGAGGGCTGTAAGCCCCCTGCAGAGCTGGGTAAAAGTGTGTGAAATGCATCATCTGGGAGAATGGACTAAGGTATGAGACACCAAAAACAGGCGGCAGGTCACCTGCATGTTGTCCATCACGTTAGCTCCTGAGGGAGCCCCAACCCCTCCCAGACTCTTCTACCATGGGACCCTGACTGTGGGTGGATAAACAGCCAAGAGTCAAAATGTGACATCTTTCTGTGGCAATGTATTTTCACATGAAAATCTCTGGATAAACAGACATGCAAAGGGTGCGTGATGCAGGGGAGAGGATGGCAGCCTTGGTCCCATGTAGCCTGGGGTCAGACTGTTACCTGCGCATGCACACAAGGCCTAGCGTGAGAGCACCTAAGCTGGCATTCTCCATCCTTACTGGCTACTTCCCTGCCCACCCCCGGAACCCTGGGAGGTTAGAGCTGGATGGGACCTTAAAGGTCTCTCCTTGACCACCCCACCTTTTATCTAGACGAGGAAGCAAGGCTTTGTAGTGAGATGTACTGCTCATCAGGGTCGCCTGACTGGCTCAGTAGGTGGAACATGCAACTTTTGACCTTGGGGATTGTGTGTTTAGCCCCACATTGGGTATAGAGATTACTTAAAAATAAAATCTTAAAAGAAAAAAAAAATGTGGCTCACCTCCTTTCAGGTAGGCATGGGGCACATTGGCCTCCAGAAACATGGCCTCTCCTGGCTTCAGGGTGAGCAGGTTCAGGAAGTAGATGGCAAAGCATCCAATATCCCCAGGGTACTGCTGATGCAGCCGCAGCAAGAGCTCGCCGTTGATGTCCTCCATGTTGTGTCCAGCAGCCACTGAGGGTCAGAGAGGCCCCGAGGCCATTTAGGAACCCTCAGTGGTGTTCACAGCCCCACCACCGCCAGCAAGTCCTGGGGAAGTCCCTACCCACAGAAATCTAGAACCTGGAGGGTGTTTGCCTGGCCCCATCCCCACCTTCTGTGGGCTGGCCTTCCTTGATATTCCAGACCACAGAGGTGCCATTTTGCCTATACGCTCAGCATTACCCTAGCCAGGGAAAGGGCTAAGGTCTGGGGCCAGATAATCCATTGTTGTGGAGGCTGTCCTGTGCGTTGCAGGATGTGTAGCAGCATCCTTGGCCTCTACCCACAAGACAGCACTAGCACCCCCATCCATATTTTGAAACAAAGAATGCTCCAGACAATTGCCAGTGTCCCCTAATTGAGAACCACTGCTGTAGAATCTCCATGTACTGAAGGGATGACCCAAGAGTTCCACATGGTGTGACTAACTGTCCCAGCTGGTCCAGGCCTTTCCCTTTCACAGCACTGAGAATACTAGGTCTCAGAAAAAGTCCCCGGCAAACCAAGATGGTTGATCCCCCCCCGAGAGCAAGAGGCAGAACGTGCCCAGGGCCAAAAATGTATCCCAGAGACTAACCAGGGGAGGGAGAGCTCAGCCTGGGCTAGATTAGTGAGGGAAGGCTTGGAAATTGGGGGAGGGGAAATGTGGTGGGCAGAGATGTCTCAAGTGGGCAGAGAAGGGGGGAGGGCACGAGTAAATGAAAGCAGAGTGTGTCAGTGCCGCAGCGAGGGAACTAGCTGGTCTGCACTGGAGGATGGTCCTGAGCCGTCATACAGAGACGTGCTGAAGGCCCGTTTGGTGCTAAGCCCTGGGAACACAAGGACACATCAAGGACACAGATTCCTGGCCTGGAGAAGACCCCAGTTTTAACAGGTGACAGAGACTCACAGGTGCTACACCTCACATATGAACAGGGCAAGAGCGTTCCGTTCCACCGTGAGCGCAAGAAGCCCTAAAGGGGAGGGGTGCCAGCAGAGATGACCCCACAAACCAAACAAAAGAACCCAAAGAAAACCATATGCTCGGGTAAGATAGTTTCCTGTGGCTCCCAGGTGGCGGGAGGCACGTGTAGAGAGAGAGCCGGAAGAGAAGGGGCTGGGGCCTCATCGCGTGTGCCACAGGAGCTCAGGCTGGAATCCACTCTGCTTGTACTGACCTCCAGACCCAAATGTGACGACCACACCCATCACAGTCATTTCCGGAACTCTCCTTAGTTAGCACAAGGTTGGGCACAGAGCAGCTGCTTAAGGAAATATATCTATATCTATATAACTAAAAAAAAAAAGATCTGATTGAAAGCTCTGGGCTTCAGGACTTTGGAGAAGAGGGGCATGAGGGTCCCCTCGGGCCCTTCCTGCTTCCGAGCCCCAAAGTATAAGTCCATCCACGGAGAACAGCTGTAGGCCTGGGAAATCTCAGAATGCTTAGGTGGAAGACCTCCTAGAAGTCCTGCAGGCCACTCTGTCTCCAGCCATCTAGGGAAAAGAGCCAGTTAGAAAGCGGCACTCTACCTAAGGCCCTACTCCCCAAGACTAGGAGAGAAACGCTCAGGTACGAACAGGCCACCTAAGTCCTTTCGGGCCCATTTTGATGCTGCCCTTCGAGCAGAGGGGTTGAGAACCCAGTACTCGCTGCCTGGCGCCCATGCTGGGGCAGTGCAGGCAGGGGCACTGCATCCGGACGCACAGCACCCACCTTGCTGGGAGACCCGCTTCACCAACAGGTTGAGCTGCTCCACCACCACCTTCTTGTCCCTCTTCATCAGCTGGGAGAAGCAGCCCCGCAGGGCGGAGGCCACACACTGGGAGTCACGGCTCAGGCTCTGCTTCAGCTGTGCGGCCGCATTATCTCCAATTAGAAACTGGAACTCGGGCACCTCTGCAGGAAGGCCAGGCCAGGGCCCGTATCAGGAATGGCAAGGCGGAACCCGCAGAAGTGGGAAGCCAGAAGAGGCCTCCCTACTCCATCCCTAGTCAAGGAGCCAGGCAGTGCTCCGCAAACATTGAGGTGAAAACCAGCTACTCACCGCCAGCCCTAGGAACCACACGTGGGCCTGGACTCACAGGTCCGCCCCAGTGGCTTTAAGTGCCAACCAGCCCCCCAATTCCTGTGACACTCAGCCTCTGTTCTCTGCCACTATTCCAACTCCGCCCTGGGTTGTCTGTGCACCCCAGGCCCGATATGCACGTTCTCAGTATTTTGCCCAACCTTACTTGTCAGAAACGTCACAATTTCCTCAACTGGCCGGAAACCACATAAACCCTGGAAGGAGGTGAGGGCAATGGCCATCTCTGGCTTATGGTTGGCATCGGGGTAGTGCTGTGGAGCCTGGAGGTGCAATTTCTCTGCCAGCTCCTGTGGGATGGGCAGGGGAAGAGGAGGATGGTCAAGGTGCAGTCATCACCTAGCAGGACAGCAGTCCCACCCAGCCCTCGCTCTCTACCCACCCTGGTCGCCAGACAGCAGTGGCTTCATGCTTTTGGCAATGAGCCCAGTCAGGGCGTAATGCAGAAACTCAAGGCCTGGACTGTGAATCAGGAAACCCCAACACCAAGTCAAGCTCAGACACTAAGAGGCTGTGCGACTTTGGCTAAATCCTTGTCTTCTCTGGGTCTTACTCTGCCCATCTAGAAATGAGAAATTTGGACAGACAAATGCCTAGGAGTTGAGGCAACAGCTAGGCTGCCTGCCTTGTCCCGGACAACGAACTTTCCGAGAGAGCCAGTGGGAAAACAGTAGATAGAGCAGTTCTGGCTGGATGAGGGGAACCCAGGAAAGAGCATGGAGAAACTCCCTGGGCACAGGCTGGTCAGCTGTCCAGTTAGACTTGGCTGCCAGCATGTGGCACCAGCATCTGGCCTTCCAGAGCTAAACTGGGAGTCGTCAGGCCTGGATTTAGCTTTGGGCCGGAGTGAGGCATGTGGGCGGGGTAAAAGCAGCAGTAAAAGCAGTGGAAGGGCCTTGACCTGAGTTCTTCTGTATCCCGACCTCTGCACTCCACTCCAACCCTGTACCTTGTTAGGGTGTGCCTGGATGGACAGGGCGGTTTCAACCGAGAGCACTTTGAAGAGGAAGGGCAGCTTGCCATCAAAGGTGTCTTTGACCTTTGTGCCCAAGCAGTCCTGGTTCTCAGCGATCCACTGGCCTAGGGTCTTCTGTGAGATGTGATTGTCAAGGATCTTGGCATCTCCCCGGGGATGGCACCCCATCCACAACTGGAAAAACAGAAAACATGGGAGGGAAAGAGGAAGAACCTGACACCACCAACCTGAATCCTGAGACGGGCCTCCCAGGCCTGGCTCATGTCACCACAGGCTCATGTCACCACAGACATACAGGAAGGCAGCAGACCCCAGCATACCAGGAGTCAGGGGACCCAATTCAGGCTCTGCCTCCAACTGGCTGTGGAAGCCTGGGTTAGTTATTTCTGGTCTCTTGGTCTCAATTTTCTCATCTGTCCAATCAGGAGAGTGACACCTGCACTGTCAAGGTCACTAAAAAGCTCTCAAATGGCTCTGAGAAGGGTTAACATTCCAATCTCAGAAGTAGAGGCCTTTCTATACTTTGGCTTTATCTCACCTAAATGGGCAGGAAAGATACATATTTTAGGTTAGTTACTAAAATGTAAAAGCAAAGTCAAAGTTTTAATTGTCAAAAAGGGCTGAATTAAAATTCAGTCAGTGCTGAGAGTTCTTGGGGGGGGGGGGGGGGAAGATACCAGAAATCCCAAAACCTCTCTTCTTCTGGTGCTACCATCTGGATTCAGCGCCTGCCCAGATCTGAAGAGCCAAGAGGGCCTCCTCCCTCTTTGCTGCCCCCTCTCCCACTGACCCAAATGATTTGCCCCAGGCCTTCTGAGTAGAGGAATCCCTTGGTCTCACCTGCTGGTAAAGTCAAACACAGCCGAAGTCTCACCTCTGCATATGGCTTGTCCTCTGAGATCTGGGCCAGTGGGTCACTGCTGGCCAGCAGCCGAGCCACTTCACTGTTGGAACCCATCTTCCCCCAGGCATACTGCTGCACCACACCGGAAAGTGGGAATACTGGGGGCACAGACAGTGGGTCAGCTTTCACTCCACTCCTGAGGCCTGGTCCTACTGCCTTGGGGAAACTACACATGAGCTGAGGGGTTTTTTGTCTGAGGGATAAAGTCACATAAGGGGTCTGTAGGTCGTTAGTTGAGACCCTGCTCCGCAGGCCTTGATGTTCCCATCTGTAAAGCGGGCAGTAAGGCTTTTCCGCGGACGTGAGTCAGGAGTTGCGCTGAGGTGACAAGGCGGGAGCAGGAGGAACCTATTACACAGCATCCCGTCTCGAAGTGACCCATGCGCGGCCCTTCCCTTCAAGACCCTCCTTCGAGCGTTGAAATGGCTCAATCCCCATCGCAGGTGCTCCCACCTCTCCCCGGAGCTCATCCATCTTTCCGCGGAGCCGCAAGCCTGGGTCCCACCTGGTAGCGACGCGACACGACCCTCCCCCACTCTCCTCGGCACCCCAGCCGGCAGCCCACCTTGCTGAACTGCCATCCTCGCGCTACCGGACCTGGCTTCTGGCACGTATACTCTTCCCGGCAGCACCCGCGACGCCCCTGAGCCCAGAGCTTTCTGGGAAATGTAGTTCCTCGAGTGCCTCCTTGGAGGGCCGTGTGCCCGGTGTGGCCACTCGGAGCCCTCTGAATGCCTCTCATACCCTCCAGCGATCTGCAGCCCAGAGGCTTACTGCCCGCAATCTTGAGTCTCAGTATTCATTCACTGGGTTCTTCACAGGACACAGATTTACTGAGAACCGGCAAACTATCGCGGGCTGTTCTAAGGTCTGGTGATAATCCAAGAACAAGATAAGGGTCCCTTTCCCTTTGTAAAGCTTACATTCTGGTGAAGGGAAGACGGGCCTATAGGTATAATAAATAAATAAGTAAATAATATAGAGTGTTGAGAGATAAGTGCTACAAAAAGTTGGGGTGGGAGTGGGGAGTATTTTGCAGAATTAAAATGTCTAGGGAAGGGCCTCCTGGGTGGCTCAGTCGGTTAAGCCAGCGACTTCGGCTCAGGTCACGATCTAATGGCTCATGGGTTCAAGCCCAATAGGGTTCTGTGCTGACAGCTAGCTCAGAGCCTGGAGCCTGCTTCAGATTCTGTGACTCCCTCTCTCTCTGACCCTCCCCTGCTCACGCTGTCACTCTCTCTCTCAGAAATAAGTAAAACATTAATAATAATAATAATAATAATAAATAAAATATCTAGGGAAGTCTTATTGAGGAGAAGAGGCTGGAGCACAGACTTGGAGGTGAGGAGGAGTATTCTGGCAGTTTCGGACTCTACGGTGGGAACATGGGAATGTGTTATATTCTGGAGTAAACAGAAGAGAGGCCAATGTGGCTGGAGCAGTGAGCAAGTGTGTATATGTGGAGGGGGGATAGGTGGTACATGTGAGGTGATCAGAGGAAAGGCAGTGTGCAGAACTTTGCAGGCTATTGTGAGAACTTCAGGTTTTACTGAGTAGCTGAGTCAATAGGAAAGAATTGCTGTGATCTAAGAAGGGATTCACTGATGCTTGATGATGTCAAATGTCACAGGCAAGGCCCTTCACCCATCTGAACTTCAGTTTCTTCCTCTATAATGTTGGAAGGTGAGATGGGATGATGTGGAATGTAGGAAGGCAGTCGGTGCTCAATGCTCCTCTGTTCCTCCCAGCCTCAAGTACTGCAGGACACAGACCCCCAACCCCTCCTGCAGGCTGAGCTGCTCACAGGGAAGTCAGGGAGAATCACCAGGAGCTCTGCATGGTGAAGGCTGGGCTGGGGCTTGTTTGTGGATTGATCTTACTAAATCACTGAGTAGCTCAGTTGGTTAAGTGTCCGACTTCGGCTCAGGTCATGATCTCACGGTTGGTGAGTTTGAGCCCTGTGTCATGTCAGGCTCTGTGCTGACAGCTCAGAGCCTGGAGCCTGCTTCGCATTCTGTGTCTCCCTCTCTCTCTGCCTCTCCCCTACTCACACTCTTGTCTGTCTCTCAAAAATAAACAAACATGGAGAGCCTGGGTGGCTCAGTTAGTTAGGCGTCCAACTTCAGTTCAGGTCATGGGTTCAGTTCACAATTCATGGGTTTGCGCCCCATGTCGGGCTTGGTGCTGACAGCGCAGAGCCTAGAGCCTGCTTCAGATTCTGGGTCTCTCTCTCTCTCTGCCCCTCCTCCAGTCATGCTCTGTCTCTCTCAAAAATAAACATTTAAAAACTAGAAATAAATAAATAAAATAAATCCTCTGGAAAAAGCCTCTGACATCCAGACCTCACTCAGTAGCCCAGGAGGAGGGCAGCCAGCTAAGGCACCTGGAATGAGGGGCTATAGTCCTGACTCTGCTTTTCCCCCACCCCCTCCGCCCTAATTCCCCCAGCTTATCCTTACGTGCCCAGGGAAAAGAGGGGGTGCTGTTTTCTCTGCCCAGCTGTGGACATTGACCTCTCCTGGAGTGCTCTGGCTCAGATAAATCAGTCTGCATTTCAAGGGAAGCTTCACCATATACTAAGGAATAAGAAAATGGAAAACACAAGAATCCTACAAATAGCACATCTCACATACCTCTTGCCTTTGAATACCTCTCCTTTGCCTCATTCCTGCTCCTCCAAACTTATGAACCTTCCTGTGAACGAGGGATTAGTTTAGGCACGGGGGTGGGGAAGGTGGGGGGTGTTTTTGGACCACCTCCCCCACCACTACTACTGAAGCCAGAGTTGGAGTCATTCCTTCATAGTATCTCTCCACAGGCAAGAAAGAACTTAGATCTTTGGGACAGATAGAGCACCACCCCACTCCACTCCACCTTCCTTACAGAAAAATCTATCTGCAAGGGAAACTAGTATGTTTGCCAAGCCTAGAAGCTTTCACCCTTACCTCTTGCTTGTCTATCTATAGTAGTACTGATCAAACTTTATTATCTAGTGAGGATCTGCTTTCTTTTCTCTTTTCCCTACTAGACCTTATTCTAATTCAGCTTCACATTTCTGCCAGTACCCAGCTATAGATCAAGCTATAACAGCAGCTAACATTTGTTTTGCTGTGTACTAAATACTGTGCTAAGCCCTTTTTGAGAATTGTCTCCCTTCATTCTCAACATAGCCAATGAGATAGGTAGTGCCTTTAGCCCCATTCTAGAGATGAGAAGGAGGTCTTGAAGAAGTGAAGCAGCTGCTCTAAGAGTATAGAGTTCCAATATGGTAGACCTCTTTCCCTCTTGAACAAGTCAATGAGTAAATAGTTGCATGGTGTCTCTTTCACAGAGAAGTGGGCAGATCCCAGAGTCTTTAGAGACAGATGGGGAGGCAGGCTCCACAATGGTGATGTCAAGTTCCATTCTTTCTTCATCAGTCCTGCATTGTACTAGGCTGGGCAGACAAGGAGGAAGCAGGCTTGCCTCATGCTGTGTGAACTGCTCTTTCAGGCTGCAGACAGCAAGGATCACTATGCTGCCTATGATGCTGTGATATGCTGAGTTCCTAAAACCTGTGTAATGTCCTAAGCAATAAAAGCGCTGGGGACATCTTTTGTTTCAATATTTGGCCTTTGACCCCAGTTCCTGACACAGAGCTCCTAAATCTCTTGGAATTTCCTGGGTGACCACAGTATCTTTGGTCCTAAGGAGGCAACTCTTAGTGGGCTCCTGGATAGCTTCAGGATGGATGACCAAGCCATGAGTAGGAGTAGAAGCTTGGGACCTTCAGCCCTACCTCTCCCATCCTCTGTCCCCTGGGGAGGGAAGAGGGGAGAGATTAAATTAACAATCAATCATGCCTATATGATGAAGCCTCCATTAAAAAAAAAAAAAAATCCCTGAACTAAAGGGTTTGAAGAGCTTCCAGGTGGGTGATCACATCCATGTGCCAGGAGAGTGGCACACCCCAACTCCACGAGGCAGAGCTCCTGTGTATCTCTTCAACTGGTTGTTCATCTGTATATCCTTTATCATATAACAATCCAGTAAGTGTTCCCTGAGTTCTGGAAGCCATTCTAGCAAATTATTGAACCTAAGGAAGGGGTCATGGGAACCCTGCATTTTTAGAAGCACAGGTGACAACCTGGGGCTTGGGATTGGCCTCTGAAGTGGGGGCAATCTTGGGGGACTGAGCCCTTATTTAACCTGTGGGTTCTGATGTTAACTCCAGGTAGACGGCGTCCAAACTGAAATGAATGCTACCGAGCTAGTGCCGGAGAATTGGTTAATGTGGGGAAAAGGAAACCTATATGTCTGGTTACAGAAGTGTTCTATGTGAATATTAAAGGAGAAACCAAAGAGTTTTCCTCTATACTGCCCTCAGAGGGGTGGTTGTGGGGGGTTAGGGGTAGATAGTTTCTAAAGGCACACAAACATGGGTTCTTTTGCTTTCTCTCGCTTGAGGAAATTTCCCCGGAGAAAAGTTGAAGGGGGCCTTAAAGGATAATTGGAATTTAGACAGGAAAGCGGAAGGTAAGACAAGTGAATGATGGTAGGAATAAATATTTACTAAAATGCCTATTATGTGCTTGGTACACTGCTATTACCAGAACTACAATAGTGAGCAAACAGACCCTACTCCTGCCCTTCTAGAGCTTACAGTCTAGTGGGAGGGCGAGACATAAACAAATAACCACCTATACAAGAGTATACTTAAAATCTGCAATATGTACTGTGAAACAAAACTATAGGGTTATAAAAGCATTTGTTGTGAGGGAAGGAGGTGATCTAACCTATTTATTGAGTAGTGAAGCTGCTCCTGAAGAAGAGGCATCTGAGCTTGGATAAAAGGATAAATTGGGGTTAATTAGGGATGATGAAGGCATGGACTAGAGCAACCAGGAAGAAGGAACATTAAGGGCAGAGGCCCCCAGGCAAGGGGAAACAAGGAATGTTTAAGGAACTGAAAAGCCACAAGGAGGGCTGGAATCTATGAGGGTGGGGACAGGAAGGAGTGGGAAGAATAGACAGGTGGGGGCAGATCCTACAGGACCTAGAGGCCTCACCAAGAATTTGGGCCTTTATGGAAAATAAGTGAATGACTTTAAGCAGGAAGGTTAATAATAATGTATTATTTTAGAGGAATATTTGTATAATATTTTAAATAAACAATATTATTTATAATATTTTATAATAATATCTTGTCCCCTTTATTTTTTTAATGTCTATTTTATTTTATTTTTTGAGAGAGAGAGACAGAGCATGAGTGGGGAGGAAGGGCAGAGAAATGAGGGAGACCCAGAATCCAAAGCAGGTTCCAGGCTTTGAGCTGTCAGCACAGAGCCCGACTGAACTTATGAACTTCGAGATCATGACCTGAAGTGAAGTCTGACACTTAACCAACGGAGCCACCCAGGCGCCCCTATTTTGCCCCCTTTAAAGAGATCTCCGGTTACAACAAGAACAACAGTAGACCAATTAGCAGCCCTGCCTCCCTGGAATGAGAGTGGCTGGATTTGGTGGCAGCCCAGATGAACAAAGCATGAAGAAATAAGGGCAGTGGGAAGTGAATCAGCCACCTCCCCCATAGCTGATGGCTCTATTGTTGAAATTTCTCATTCACTAACAAATGCTTGATGCCCTGATTCAAATACCAGCTCAGGTCCTAAACCTGTCTGGGATCCTCAACCCCAAAATGCTAAAACTTGACAACAGGGGGCAAGACCTAAAAACAGCCAAGACTCAGCACATGTGCGGTGACGAGGGAGCTTATGCCAAGTTGAGGGCACACTATAGGCTAACAGCAACCCCTCTCCTAAGGTAGGACCTGTGTGATATTCCTTGGAGACTCCTGGCTACCCAAGAACAAAGGTAAGGGATTTAAGTACTTGCCACGGTGATGTGGGGCACATGAGAAATTAAATTTCCTTACTGTCCACAGCCCATTGACAAGTCCTTGAAGCTGGCAGAATGTCCTCCCTCTAGGAGCTCAGCTGCCCTGATGATGACACTTTGCTAGGGGCAAAAGGGCCTATAAGTCTACGTTAGCATATAAAAATTCCTTTGGAAACTTCCTTTCTCAACTCCCCCAGGATATATGCTGGCAATCATACTCCAAGCTTATGGCCCCATGATACACATCAGAAGGGTCTCATGACTGGGGTTTTACCAAACGGTAATAAATAGCGTTTTCCTAACAGCAACTGGCCCCTCAAGGTCATGGAAGCCTTGCTTCCAAAATGCCTTAGAGACTTTATCCCCAGGTCCCTCCCAACCTGAAGGTATATAATCAGTTATCCGGCACCACCAGAGTGCAGCTCTCTCTGTCCCCAGGTCTTGCCCCCGTGCATTAATAAAATCACCTTTTTCCACCAAAGATATCTTCAAGAATTCTTTCTTGGCCGTCAGCTCTGAACCCATCACCCCAAAACCCATCTTGTGGGACAGTTGCACGGGCAGTTCTTCCGAAAAGAACCCCCTGCTGGGTCCTACCACCAGAACTCCTTTCCTAGCTCGACTAGGTCCTCTCAGGACAGAAATTCGATTTCCCCCTCCCGCCAAACTAGGCCCACACTGCATTCTGAGAACTTTTCCTGAGAAGTTCGACTTCTCAAACTTGCCCTCTGGGGAAATGAAGGGGTTAAGTTTCCGGCTCCACTTAACAGAATTCACTCGGGAATTTTCCAACACAAAGTTAGAAGCAATCAGACCCAGAAGCTGCTGAGAACAGGCTACTGAGAACGGTTCCGGCCCCGCCTCCCGCTCCCTCGTGCCTCTGAGCCACCGCGACCTTCGAAGCACAGGTTACGAAAGGAGCGCCTGGAAACGGAATGCCCACTCGCTGCTCTACAGTGGGCTCGGCAGGAGGGCGGGGCGGGCCTCTGTGACGTCAGGACCACGCCCCTCTGGGAGGGTGCTGCGCCTGCGCTAGTACTGCTGCTTCGCTCCCGGAAGTGGAGGGTTGGTACGGAGAGAGCCGCTGGGTCTGGGTGCCCGGAGGCAGAAGCGCTCGCGGAGCTCGCCACTCAGGCCCCGACCGCCATGTCGTCCTTCGACACCAATCCCTTCGCAGACCCAATGGACGTAAACCCCTTCCAGGTAGAGCCCGCGAGTCAGTTCTCTCCAGTGCCAAAGGCCACCGCCCGGGCCTCTTTCGCTGGAGCCAAGAGACGTGGCGTAGGAGAGACGGCCCCTCTGCCCAATGGGAGAATGGGCTCTGAGGGCTGGCCTTTCGTCGGGTCTGGGGGGCGGGACTTGCAGCAGGTGGACCAGCAGAGGGGGCGGGGCGCTGTAGCCTGGCGAGAGGTGGTAGGACCCTGTAGCTCCCTGGGTGTAAGCTAGCCCCTTTGGCTGGACACTGCTGGAAAGGGGGACTGAAGTAGATGCGGTCGGGGAGAGAAGCGACTTCACCTCTGTGAGAGGTGTGGCTACCACATTCCGCAGTTTTGGGGGAGACACCTGCTTTGAGTCACATTAGGAGAGAGGGTTGACAACAACATAGTGAAGAGGTGGAAGTTTCTAAGGGGACAGAGAAATGTGGGAAGATTCCAAGTTCCACTCTACCCCGAACCTCCGGCACAGCCAAACTATCCTACAGGGTATAGGAGATCCACGGAGATTTGCTAGGAAAGGAAGTTTGGGAGAGGGTGTGGAGGTAACCAGCGCACGCTGAAGTATAGACTTGAAAATAATTCCTCATTTTGGCCATGGGTCTAGTTTGGACTGGGATGTGGCTAGATTGGAGAGAGGGCCCAGGTTAGGGAGGGAGGGAACGTGAAGGGGCTCTGAGGGTTTTGAAACCCAAGGAATGTTGGTCTGATGGAAGTGTGTGTTGGCAGGGTAGTTGAGCTGGCCTGACCTTTTGAACATAGGATAACTGAAGAGGTCTTCCTACTTAAAGTGGAAACCTTTCTGCCTCTGAGCTGGGATACAGGGATATTCTTTTTGCAGAGTGAAAGGCTGGGCCCCCTGCTAACTCCAGATCTTCTATGCCTCTGGTTTCGTGTCTGCTCAAAACCAGTTCTGGGGAAGCTTAATTGTGCTGACTGGTGATTTATGAGCCCCGAGGTTTCTGCTCTGTCAGGATGTCACTGGGCGCATTAACTCATCCTGCTTGTGCTTTATTCTGGTCACTGGCAGCGACAGTGTTTCCTGCAGGTGTTGGGGGAGGAACTTTGAGGGATCCTTCCTGCAACTCACAGCATGAGCTTTTTCGCCTTGAATTCCTTCAAGGTCAGAGCAAAGACAAGGACGACTAGAAGGGAATAATTGTACGCTGTCACGAGAGTGAAGATTTTATGCTTCTTTCTTGGTCTCAAGGTACTTAGTCAAAGGGAGCCCTCAAGGGAGATTTTGGTAGCTTGGTCTTTGTAACATCCTGAACACCCTCTTGCAATTTAATGCTTCTTGACAGACCTTTGCAAGGACTTTTGTCTCTTATGTAATGCAGTCATCTCTATTAGTTGAGTAAAGAAAAAAAAATCTGCATTTTTTTCCCCTGCCAGCGTCATCTGGTTACAGTTTGGTTTAATTACAGAACTGCTGTGTGATGCTGGACTTTGAGTTTCAGGAAGGCTCTAGTAGTGTTTTGGAGTGTGTTCTGTGTAATCGTTTGCTTCTTTTTTCCCCCCCTCTCCTGTCAGAATTGGAAATAAAATGTCTGCTGCTGTCTGCCAGAGGCGGTCAGCCTTCCAGAGACGCCGAGAGCTTGTCTCCAGAGCTAGCAGTGGGCGAGAGATAGTTGGCCCGAGTGCGGCCCTGGATTAATAGCAGCTTGAAAGTCTTAGTCTTAAACCACATCTCCAGTCCCAGGAATGATTGTGCAAACGGTGATAGCAGTAACTTCTGCATTCAAGCGAGACAGTCTGTCCGTCAGTCGGCCCCAGGATATAGCAGGACAGGAAGCAGCTGTGGGCCTGTAGAGAGCAACATCTGGTGGGGGGAATCCTGTGTGGGAAGATGGGAGAGAGTTGGCTGGGCTGGGACTCTGCTCCTCCATACCCTGGGCTGTGTTTTTCCCCATGGCACACAGTTCTGCGGGGAGAAGGAGCTTTGGACGTGGTCCCCCACCCCCACTCCCCCAAGCTCTTTCTCCTGGAGAGCTGCCCTCCCTTTTCTTGTGGTGCTAGTGGCTGCTTTCCTGACCACCAGAGCTGGGACATGGGAAGGGTGCAGCCCTTGGGTGACTGGGTGTGAGCCCAGCTTCATTTACCCAGGGTGTTAGCACAGAGCTCAGGAGAGAACAAGGGGAGAGGCGATAGGCTCAGAAACTGTCACACCTAGCCGGCTTTCAGAGCAGAGTCATGCTTCCGTCACTCCTGCTCCGTGGTGGGTCCTGAAACTGTAGCGTTCAGAGTCCATGGTGGAATATTAGAGCTGGGAACATCCTCAGGAATCTGTTCTCACCCTTCAGTTTATTTAAAAAAATTTTTTTTGAATGCTTTTATTTATTTCTGAGAGAGAGAGAGAGAGGCAGTGTGAGCAGGGGAGGGTCAGAGAGAGAGGGAGACACAGAATCCGAAACAGTCTCCAGGCTCTGAGCTAGCCTTCAGCACAGAGCCTGACGCGGGGCTCGAACCCACAAACCGTGAGATCATGACTTGAGCGGATGTCGGACGCTTAACCGACTGAGCCATCCAGGTGCCCCTCACCCTTCAATTTAGAGAGGAGGAAACCAGGAATCCAGTGAGGGTGGTATGTGCCAGAGCCACCAGCTGACTTGCAGCGGGCGGGGGCCCAGATCTGGGCCTCACTCTCAGGATATTGCTGTTCTAAAGGTTTTTGATTCCGATACTGGTCTTAAACTGCGTTGGGGTTATGTAGGCCAGCTAAGGAAAGAGTGTACCGTCATCACTGTCCCCATTCTTGAGAGTACCGGTAGGCGTGTTTACTACTAGCTAAATACTGGCTAATTATTATTCGCTAATTAGTATTAGCTATGCAAGTTTTCTTTGCCCAGTGTGTCGGGCTGGGATAATGCAGCTTATACTGTGCTTTTTAAGGTAGTACTTTATTTATTTATTTTTTACAAGTTTGTTAGAGAGAGCACGCATGCTTGTGTGTGCAAGCAGGGGAGGGGCATAGAGAGAGAATCCCAAGTGAGTCTCAATCCCAAGGACCATGCGACCATGACCTGAGCTGCAACCAAGAGTCAGACGTCTAATTGACTGAGCCACCCAGGCCCCCCCAGACAGCGCTTTATAGCAGTTATGTTCTGAGGAATACCAGTCCTGAAAGGTGCTCAGGGCTATGTGGTCAAGTAAGTTTGGGAATCACTATTTTTTCTTAAAAATCAACAAGGCTTGTTTGTTAGAGGCCCTGAGCAGTCCTACAGTAGACATTTGCTCAACTTCATCTGACCCAGCATTTCTCGAGGTTATCCAGCCGTGGAGTCCTTTTCCTGCTAACTCCGGTGATAATGCCCTGCCACTTCTGGTGTGCCTTTTACACGACTCCTTTACCCTTGTTTTTTATCCACCTCCTACTTCCGCCCACCTCCCCGCCCTGCAGTGTGGGCGTGGGCTTTTAGGACCTCTTTGCGTGGAGTTATACTTGGGATTCTTAGCAAACTTCCTGCCAAGCAAGAGCTGTGAATGCAAAGTTGTCACGAGTGCAGCCGAGGTTTTACCAAACTTCCAGGCGGAAGCAGGAAACTGCAAGCCAAGTACTGCCGGTTTCACCACCTCCCCCCTGGCACTCCCTCATTCCTGTGTTAATTAATTGGGTACATCTGCTTGGTGCCCTCTGGGTCTGCGGGTCCTGCTGTGGACCGATTCCAGCATGTCTGCTCCCAGAAGTTTTTCAGGCATCTTGTCAGACGGTGAAGACGTAGAGGGCTAAAGGTGGGCATCGGCGCGCCCATTTTGCGTTTTCAGCGCTCAGCTAACCAACAGGTCACCCAGGCCAATGCCAGGGCTACTTCCCTCTTGGGCATTTCTGCCAGGCTGCCCCAGGCAGGCGGCATCGATCTCGAGGAGCGGGGAGTCAGCTAGCTGGTGGTGCTGAACAGAGAAGGCCTTTCAGTGTCTTGAGTTGCCAGATCACACCATATCACTTTCACACGTTGCCTCCTTGCAGTTAAAAGATAATCTCGGTGGTGTGGCTGCTTCCCAAGGATTTAAAACTTTTCTCTCCTGTGGGAGGAGGAAAGTGGTGGCAGGAACGTGATTTGGGTGTGAACAGAGTTCCCCGCATAGACGCTTCCTGGAGAGGGTGGGCTCCAGCTTGACTGTAACTTTGGGGATTCTTAAAACCACCAGATGGGCCTGTGAGAACTTTCCTGTGGAACGGGAGCATTGTCTTAAGAAATTTGAAAATGGTAAAGTTCATATAGTTTGAGCCCAGACAGCTGCCAGATCCGGGGGGTGGGGGGTGGAGGTGAAGGGGGTGGGAGTCCTCTCCCCGCACCTGAAGCCAGGCCGGGTGATCAGAAGCACTTGGCCAGAGACACAGCTGAACTTTAACCCTGCGCTTCTGTTAAGTTTTCCTTGGAGCTACTTGGTGTAGGATAATCCTGGGTTTAGAAAAATGGTAATATTTAACCAGGACAAACAAGGGGTCCTTGCCACCCTTTCGGAGAAGAGTGCCAGTGCACATGAGCAAGGTGTGGCCCGCCCAGCAGTGCTCCTTTGAGGTGCTGACACGTTTATGTGCATCGCTGAGCTCCTGCTGCTCCGAGGGCCTGTGCGGGAGGTGGCGGTGAATGGGCTTCTGATCTGGCAGGAGAGCCAAAGAAATGCTAGCTCTTCTGTGACAGCACTGTGGGTAGGATGAAGGCAGTCAAAACCTGGCAGAAGGAAGCGTGAGGGATCTGAGGAGGAAGGACAGAGTCCTTGCTAGAAGGGCTCAGGGGGAGAGAGGGCATTCCATATTTCAGGGGACAGAGCACCAAGAACCAAAAGGCGGGTGTGCATGCTGTCGCCCCGCAGCCCCAGGCACCGCCTCCCTCTTACAGCCTGCCCCCTCTCCTGCCACGGGCCCGGCACACTCGCTCGCCTGACAGTCTCTCCTGTACTTCTCTCTGCCCTCGGCTCCTTTAACGCTGGGACTCTCCCCTCCTTCCACCCACTTCGAGGCTGTGAAGGCTGGAGTTCTGTCCT